TAGCAATAGCTTCAGACTCATCATTAATTCTTTTGTATACTTCTATAATTGTTTCTCCATTATTTGCTTTAATAAAATGATATTTGTTATGTAATACACAAAAATCTTCTTTAACTCCATACCATTTTCTTTTCCCATCATAAAACTCAAATCCATTTGCTATATTTTTATGAATTAAGATGGTTTTATCTTAGTAACTCATGCTATTTTGCTTTGAACTAGATAATGCAGAGTATTGAGAATATTGAGCTTCGAGTCTTTGACTCATTTCTGATTCTCTTATCCAGGAGTCAACTGTTAGCGTACTTGCCTCTCTCAGCTGAAGTGTTAGTGGGTTTTTATCAAATGATATGAGATCACCTTCAGAAGTTGCTAGCAGATTTTGCTCTAGAGGGTTTGAATAGATGGATTTTTAGGTCGACAGGGATTTGTTCGATTTAAATGTTGTTGATACTTCTGATATGTAGAAAGTTTTGAACCACATCTATCGCAAATAGTATTTTTAATCATTGTGTATAAAAAGTATTATATATTGCTTTATAAAAAGCTTTACTTTAATTAATTATTTATCCTAATCAAATATGATCAGTGAATATATGTATCAATATATATATAATTCTGGTAAGATTTGTAGTGCTTTGTGTATACGTCCTGAGGGGTGTCATCTTCATTATAAGTCAAAAAAACGTGTTCCTTATACTGATTGTAGGAAACCAACTGCTTCTGCTTGTGGACGATGCAAAATTCATATGAGAGAATATTATGTTATATCCTATTATTAAAGACTTCGTAAAAAAGCATATAGTATAGAAAACAGCTATTCTATAATTACTTTTGACAATACAAATGTATAGCTATTCATTAATTTTCTTTATCAAAAGTTTGGTTAAATTTTTTATTGCGGAGCAGATCGAATTGTTCTAAAAATTTATCTATCCTTTTTACTATCTTTTTTATCATTAGAAAACTTAAAGAATACTACTGCTCTGCTTTACTTTGCAGTAATAAAAAGCTAATTGTTAACTAAATAGATAATTATACTTCACTACGCTTTGCATCCGGAGTCGCTATACTCCTCCGAAACAAAAAACTTTTTAGTAATCAGATAGACTAAATTTATCTAAAAAATTACAGAGTTGTATCTAAAAAAAAACTAATGTTTATAGTAACAGAATGCTAAATGTATACTAAATAGATAACTATGCTCTGCTATGCTTTGTATCTGGAGTCGCTATGCTCCTCTATAACAGAAAGCAATTTAGCAATCAAATATGATAACTATGCTCCCTGTGACAGAAAGCAATTTAGTAATCAAATTTGATAACTATGCTCCGCTATACTTCGCATCTGGAGTCGCTATACTCCTCTGTGACAGAAAGCAATTTAGTAATCAAATAAGAGGATATATATTTTGGTTAAATTAGTATATTTTTGGTTAAAAAAATCATTTTATATATCCTTATAAGAAAGTTATCGAGAATATGATAAAAAGTTTAAAATCTATAGAAATAGACTAAATTTAACCAAAAATACACCAAGCGTGTACCTAAAAAGCCTACTATTCTATTACTATCTTAAGATTTAGAAATTAGAAACAAATAATTTTTATATTATTTAATTTCTCTTAATGAAAAGAATAATAATATAAAAATTATTTGTTTCCAATTTCTAAAACTTAAGATATATTTATTTAAAGTTCAAAATTTAAAATATCTCAAAGCTACCTTTTGCTATAGGACCCCCCAAATATAGAAAAAAATGAAAAAAAGAGAGAGGCTTAGATAGAAAAAATTTATAAGCAAAGCTAATAAAATTTTTTCTAAATGCTACTCTACTCGTAAAAATTATATAAAAGACTAACACTATATTCTATATCTTAAATTTAATATACTCTTTATACTATTAATCTAAATTAGTTACGATCTATAATTAGCTTTATCATATTTGCTATTAATTTAATAAACAAAATAGATTATCTGTTTTGTTTATGTGATCTTTTCCTAAAATAGATTGGTAGTATAAATGCTGATCCTTTTACAGAGAGTAGCCAAATCTTTACTTTTTACAAAATAAATTTGCAAAAAGTATTAGATGTTGATATAGAGAGATATCTTGTATTTTTCGAGTTATAGGAAGGACCAGAGAAAGGTAAGTGCAAAAACTCTAATCAGAGTTAAAGGATAGTAATACTACTTAATCTAGTCTAAGCAGTTTTGGTAAAGCTTATATTTGGTATTTGCTTCAGCTATAAGTAAACGAAAAAATACTAAGACCTGCTAAAGTTAGCAGCTTTGCTCTAGTAGGCTACTTATAAACTAGTAGTATTAGTATAGTACTAAACTCAAACTAGTTATGAGCTTTATTCCTTGCACTGTACAATAATATTTCTTACTGGATTGTTGTTTTTAAATTTTTGTTATTGCTCCGTATTAGATTTTAGTAATTAGCAGAAAGAGTTGACTTTTGAATCAGTATAAAATATTTTTATAAGATAAAATTTTATTTACACATTATATTACAAATTAAATTTATAAATCTAACTAAACACTTCAATTATAGCTAAATCAATGGATTGGAGATCAATTTTTAATTAGTAAAAAACAGTAAAAAATAATTTTCACTACTTAAAAAAAACTGATCTTCTGATTCATTAATTTAGCTATGATTGAGATGCTTGAGAACATACTAAATCCAATATAATTACATAATGTTTTTATATCAAGGTTTTATATTGATATAATTTATATAGTACAGAACAGTCAAAGATATCTAATCAATATACAAAAATGCCAACTTTGGTGCTTATATAATCAATTTGATTGGCTAATTCTTATATAATTAATTTTAATTAGTTAAAAATATATATATATATTTTTTTTTTATTTTTTATTTTTTTTTTAAGCAAAGCCAAGGTGAGGCTATGTTTCTATCTTTATTAATAGTTTAATTAAAAAATTTTACAACAGAAATTTTTGTATACTATGCTATTACAAGGTA